TATGTGTGAGTATATAGGTGTGTATATGTATATGTGCATATATGTATATAGGTGTATGTATATGTACATATGTGTATATGTATATCTGTCAATCAACAGGTAAAGCAGATTAATAATAACTAGAGAATGCAATTCCTGAAGAAATTGCCAGTGGGAATGCTTTATGCTGAAAAGCTGACGCTGAATTGCTATGCTGAAATGTAATGTGTAAGAAGAAAGTGAAGAATTTAGATTGAAATGATACATGAACACTGGGGGCTTGAATGTGTGATGAGAGAAGAAAAGAAAGTAAAAAGGCTTGGAAAAGCAGCAGAATATTTGAACTGCAAACTTTTGAACTAACTTGATGGCGAATGATCTGTCGCCATGCCAACGGCATTTGATGACATCCCCTAATACGCTTAGATGCGTTGATGGCTGCATTGTTACCAAACCTGTGAAGTTTTGGGCCGTTTGGAGCATTTTCACTGAAGTTATGAGAAAACCGTGTTTCATGGTGAGCATTGTGTTGCCATGGCAACGGCATTTGAAGAAATCTCAAAACTGTCCCGTAGATGTCTTCACGGCTGGACTGTTAGCACACATGTGAAGTTTGAGCACTTTTGAACATTTTCATAGGAGTTATAGCGACATCGTCTTTTATGGCGAGGGATGCGTTTCCATGGAACGGCATATTTCGGCAGCTTTCATTGTTGCGGGTGATTTCAATCACTCCAGTTTGAAGACTGTTCTCCCCAAATTTCGACAACATGTCTCCTGCCCCACGAGAGGCAACAAAACATTGGATCATGTTTACCCCAACATGGCCAATGCATTCAATGCCATTCCCCTCCCCCACCTGGGTCAGTCTGACCACCTCTCACTGTTCCTTTATCCCACATACACACCACTCATCAAACGTGTGAAACCCACAGTGAGGACTGTCAAGGTATGGCCTGAGGAGGCAGACTCTATGCTACAGGACAAGTTTCAACACACAGCCTGGAGTGTGTTTGCCACCCAGGCCACCTTGGATTCCCGTACAGACATTGACCACTACGCCTCCTCCGTACTGGACTACATCAGCACCACCATCAACAGTGTCACCACTCTGAAGCAGATAACAACCTACCCAAACCAGAAGCCGTGGATGAATAAAGAACTTCGCCAACTACTGAAGGCACAAAACATCACCTTCAGATCAGGTGACGAACGGGCTTACAGTTTATCCAGGGCTCACCTAAAGAAGGGCATTAGGAAGGCCAAGCACTGCTACAAACTGAGGATTGAGGAGCACTTCAACAACTCCGACCCCCGAAGAATGTGGCAGGGCATTCAGGCCATCACTGACTATAAACCCACCACCCCCTCTCTCCCGTCAAACGACGTCTCCTTCCTCAACGAGCTGAATCATTTCTATGCTCGCTTCGACAGGGACAACCAGGAGACAGCCACTAAGGCTGTCCCCCCTGCAGACCACCAGCCCCTCACACTCTCACCTTCTGACGTCTTCACCACACTGAGCAGGATTAATGCACGCAAGGCTGCTGGACCCGATGGCATCCCAGGCCGCGTTCTCAGGGCCTGTGCTGGGCAACTGACTGAGGTCATGACGGACATTTTCAACCTGTCCCTGGCCCAAACTGTTGTCCCCACGTGCTTTAAAACCACCGCCATAGTGCCAGTGCCCAAACACTCTGCGTGTAAATTGAAAAGTTGTTGTTAATTTAAAGTCCATGATGCAAACTCCATACCCCATAACTAATTTCCTAAATTGGCATTGAAAGTTCGAATGAGGACATCATTCGTAGAGATATTGGAATGCATAATTCATGTTTAGAATTCAGTGACCTCAGTATTGAATTTCTCTGTCAACTGTGCTTTTTATTTATATTATTTTACTAGGATAGAGAAACGGGAAGAGGATTCCCATAATCCCTGCAGCAGTGTGGGACAATAGTGTCCATTAACAGACACTCATACGAGACGAGCAGGGCTGCGGTGTGTAGGGGGGGGGTCTTTTTAAAATCGCTTCCCGAATGGGCACAGCTCCCCAAGGGCTGAAAAGGCTCCATTCGGTCGCAATCAACCTCCCGGTGCTTCCTGTGGTAGATGCGTGACGCTACCATCGCAGGGCCAGCAGATGTTAAAGGACGTTTCGCTTTGCACACGGGGGGGGGGGGTGTCGGCATCTGCTGGCCCCGCGACGGTAGCGCGTGCACGAAAATGCGCGCATCTACCACGGGAAGCACCGGGAGGTTGATTTTAAAAAGACCCCCCCCTACACACCGCAGCCCTGCTCGTCTCGTATGAGTGTCTGTTATTAATAAAATCATTGGCATACTGGCATTTTGGAATATATCCATAGTTTTGTAATTTTGTCACTTGTCATTGAAAAAAAAGTTTTTGGTAAGTATCATCGCTGTTGTATGGCCAACAAGCTTCAACCACTTGGATTTTATTATCTGTCTGTGCTACTATATATTTGTTTGACATTGTTTCTTCACCATGAACACCCACCAGAAGAGTCTTGCTCCTACACTTTATATGAAGTGAGAAATCGTCCTGAGAGCGAAGAGGATGATCAACGTACAGGGATAAAAATCAGAAAGAAAACAGAAGAGAAACAGGCTTTTCATTCTGTGTTATGTTTCTGCCTGAAAGACAGGCTTCTCCTACACTTTCTACAGTGACGTCACCAGGTTTTTTTTGAAAACTTGAAATATATTCAACTTCAACAGCCACACAAAAAAAGGCGAAGTGGCGAGCCGTCAGGGCCCACTAGGACCTCTCTGAGGGCCTAAGATATTCTACAAAATAATATTTAAAAACATTAAAAAAATATATATTTATTTTAATACATTTTTTAAAATATTTTTTTAGTTATATTTTTCATTAGTTTTACCAAAATAACTTGATTTAATTGTATTTAAAATAACATTTCCAAAGAAATAAATCCTTTGAATCTGCCTGTTCAGTTTCTGTTTGAATGTGAAGGGTTAAATGAAAGAAGCTCGTCTCTGCGAGTTACTGTGAAGACAGGAGCTGATTGGTGGTCCTGCTGAAAATGCTGAGGGCTCAGCTATAGAGTGGCGAAGTCACGCCCATCTACTTCCGCCCCATGGGACCTTATTTCGGAAAAATAATGTATTGAAGTCAATGGAGAGAGAAAACTTATCTTTCGATCCCGTTTGAATTGTGCCATGAATTACACATATGATGTTTGTCAATCTTAAAAAATAATTTCCATGTCAAAAAAGTCACAGTTTGTCGTAAAACTGTTGAAATATAAGACTATGAAAAATACGTAACTAGAAAGACTACAAATCCCAGAGTCGCGTAAGTGATGTCACAATTGTTTTCCTCCACTGAGATAAGAGATAGCTAAGATCAGCACCATATAGATATAATCTATCTATATGGCGCTGGCTAAGATAAGATAACTTTAACAAGATGCCTGTGTGCTTAGTACCAGGTTGTTATTATACCAGCAATGGGTCTTGCTCGTTCTTTCGCTTCCCGTCTTATGAAAGGACTAGGAGTGTCTGGATCAAGCTAGCTAGTAGCTAGCACGTTAGTTAGCATTACAGCCTTGTCATTTTTATTAGCCTTAACATGAAGTAACATTAAGTAACCCACAATGTTAAACAGTAAGAGTAGTAGTCATATTTCGTGAACCCTTTGAAGAGTACTGTCACCGGTGTGATCATTCTATAATACACAATTTAAGCCCGGGGGAGAAATGCTAACGCTAACGCTAGCGATCTTCTCTACTTCATGCTCTCTGCACAAATGGTTGACATTAAACATTAAAACGACCAGGCAGTTCAGAGAGAATCAAAGGAAGGCAGGCAGGCAGCTTTCCATGACATTCTTCAGGACGTGTTTCATTGTGGTGATAGTGAGGGTAGTCAATCGTTTTGTTGACAAGACAGTAGTGACGGCCATCTTGGTGACGTGTGTTGTTGACCAGAGATGTAGTTCATTGAGCGTTTCACACAAACAAATGTGTTACTTCACAGTTTTACGACATTTTTTTTTTTTTGACTTGCAAAATTATCTTTTAAATTGACAAACATCATGTGTAATTCGTGGCACAATTCAAACGGGATCGAAAGATAATATTTCTCTCTCCATTGACTTCAATACATAATTTTTCCGAAATAAGGTCCCATGGAGGTCCACCGGAAGGGGAGGGACTTCGCCACTCTATAGTAACTGAACGAGAGAGTAAAGTCAAATGACAGTACAATTGACCAATCATATCTTCCCTCTAAATGGGCGGGTTTTATTATCGCAGATTTTATGACAAGTTCCGCTCGCTGTGAAGCTTTTCTTGTTTCCATAGCAACAACAACTTCCTGTCAACAGCGTAAACTCACCTTCAAAATAAAAGCATGTTCATACAAAATAGGAAGCCAAGCCAAATTACACTTAAGACATATATACAACTGCAACGAAAGTAACAAACACAATGCAATATCCTTTTCAATTTCAAATAACACAAATTGGGTTATTTACAGGTGTTGTTTTGTGTGGTAGAGCGTCGCTGTCATTGATGCGTTTTGCACCCCGGGCCGTTGTTTTGATATTCCGCTGAAGTATACGCTGTGACGTAATAACTCTTTTTTTTTTTTTTTTTCGAGGGAAGAGGTGGGGGTCAGAGGGCCTAGGTATAAAAGTCACGGCTCGCTACTGAGGCCCTTATTATGGCACCCTATCTCATGATACTTTTCGGGGATACCATCAGCCTTGACTACCAGTAACAATTGGATGATAAATTAAATGTGTTGCTATGCATCTTTTCATTGATTATACCTTGATATTGTTTTGTATTTCTTGCAGTTGATACTTTTCAGGACACAAGTTAGAACCTCCATTCTGGGACAAACACATACCTGGGAGCCAACTGTTTGTAAAATGAGTGCTTTTTTCGTGTTATATCAGACATATAGCAGAAAAAGCCTCCTGTAGTTATTCCCCCGATGTGTGTGTTTGTAAAAAAAAAGCTCTTTTCTCACCTGAAATATCCGATGATAAAGATGGCCACCAGCAGAGAGCTAAAGGACACAGCATAGCCAATGGTGTACATGACACACAGGCGCTCAAAGAAATCTTGCTGTGAACAGAGAGAAATATTTGCCATTCAGTGAACTCTTTAAGGTGAGATAGAGTTGCAGAAGAAACACATACATGACTCACAGCTGCTGGGATAAAAGATGTCCTAACATAGAAGCAAAAAAACCCCCAGAGGGATAATCCTTCTCTATTAGCATTTTGACAGGGAAATATACTAGAATACCAGTTGCACGAAAACTGGATTCATATACAATGTAAATGCTGCTATATTATTGCCTGACCATATGCCATTTTAAAGAAGGGATCAGTGACACTTCAAGCATCTATCACTGACTCATTCGCTTAGCTCTTACTATGTTGATTTAAAAGTCTTAACAAGGAGTTGGCAGTCTTAAATCCTTAATCTCTGCCTGATTACAGACTGGAGATAACACCAGGAGTTTCAACAAAGCACCTGTTCGATTCCATGCTTGAGAAGACTGTGTGAGATTTTAGACCGACTCAAAGGAGACTGAAGATTATGTTGATACCATGAACAAAAAAAAGCTCCATCCCTGTGAGTATCTTACCACCCTCACAGAGCAGACTCCCTCAGGCAATATGGTTCCTCAGATGAATAGGTTAGATCAAAAGGTGGAATATACATAACTACTTAGAATTTATACCTATACTTTTTCAAAAGAAGGAAAGGAGATTCCTATTATGTGAGCAAACAAAAGACTGCTATTTTAGACTTTTAGAATATTGATTTGACTTTGCCTAATATGATTATTTTGTATTGGTGCCTTTGTGCTCTATTCAATAAAATAATATTGGATTGTCTTGTCTTTATTCTTTTTTTATTCTGCAAGCATTTTATTGTATTTTAGTGGCATATTGAATTATTCAGTGCATTTGTTCTTTGCCAGATTATTCACAGTCAGCCTCCACATGAGCTTTTCCTGTGAGATTGACAGTTTAGACTTTTACATATGTCGACACTCTTTGTCATAAATGAATATTCTTGTGTATGGGACTAAGCAACACGCTCTCACCTCCAACGATAGGTTGGATAACCCATTATTATTCCTAATGGTGTGTAGGAATAATAACAGCAGCTGGTTAACATAATCAGCTCCTCCTTTAATGTTTACTTACTCTCCCTTTCTCATCAGTGGGCTGAAGGAAGCACTCCGAGTAGTTGGTCCATGTTTTGTTCAAGCGGTGTGCAAACACCCAAGAACCGTTGACATCACATGTCCTGTAAGCGTGTCCTGAAAAACATACTTTTTAAATCATTTCGGACATTTCCAATAGAAACCAAAATCTGGATTTCTTGATGATTAGCACCATTCATGCAGCTTGCAGTGCACTATGAGACCTGGAGGGTGAACTTATAGTGGTCATTAGGCTGGGTGTGGACACTTTTGCACTTTACGCCATCTCTAACGGAAGTTGCGTAAACAGCCGTGATTGCAGTTGCTTAACCTGTTAAGCACTGAGCCTGTTTTTCAGGTCTCAGGCTCGAAAATGACATTCCCAGAACAAATGACCATATCTTCCCTTCTAAAAGGGTTAAATTAATAATCTTTATTCTCAAAGTAATGATAAACCTGTGAGTTGGATGTAGAAAAGTCAGAATCAATATAGATGTTTTTTATTTTAAAGAAAATTCAGATTTTACATAGTAAAAAACTGTAAATTAGTGTCCGTCCAAAACTTATTTTTTACTTATAGTGAAAACTACCCTTGGATGATGGGTTAGTAGACTAAAAGCTTTAGGAATCCAAAGTACAACATATAATAAGTACCCTGTATCAAGATTGATGCAAAACAAGTGAAATTTGACCTTTTTAGAGAGATTTAGCCAAAAAAAAACACTTCTGGGGTCATTTGGGTGGATTTGACCTATCTCTGGCCCCCCTTGGTCGACTTTATAACCGCTAGAGCCAATGGAATCGAGGGAAAGTTCTACACACATCAACACGTTAACAAATGAGGAGTGAGAGTGACGCGTGACCAAGTCTAATTGACAGCTACGGTGAGACGATCTGCCGTAAAAGCTCCGTAAAGGTACGTGTTGTGATGTCTGTGTTTGCTTCCCCTGTCGCAAGTTCGGATCGCTCAGTGATGATACTACACCTAAATAATCTGTGGAGTCTCAGCTTTAATCGGATATATTGTATGTGCAGCTACGATAAGTAATAAGGGTATCTTTATCTTGAATTGTGTGCCAAAGTCAGTTTGCATTTTTCCGCTCAGGGGTCATTTAGACGCTTCTTAGGAGACTTGTGTTTTGTTTTGGTAAAAATGGTTCACATCTTCAGTTAGCTGAGATACTTCCTGTTAATCTGGTGATACACATTAATAGTTTCATAAATGTTAAGAAGCCCTGAGACATTGTCTCGAAAAAAAAACGGTGGGAGGGGTCCAATTGGGGGACCGTCGTCCTTAAGAGGTTAACACAGGACTATAGAAACAAAAGTTATACATTTGTTTCAGTATTAGCATTGAATAAGATGCTAACATTAATTTCATTGGGTTAATTGAGTAGTCTGCAATGTTTGCTATGGCAAACTAAAAAGTTGCGATCTAGCTGGCTAACAGTGGCGATTTTCACGTGTGGTAAGGGCACAGCAGCCGTGTGTGAATTGAAACGCTTCCAGGTCAAATTTCACACTTTTCCTTTTGATTTTGGAATACTGTAGAATCTACAGTATTCCAAAATCAAAAGGAAAATTGTTTTTGGAAAATGCATTTTTCATTGCTTTTTGTCGCGGGAGCTCTTATGATGCTACGTTTTTGATCGGCCTACAAAATTACATATCACTGCATTGCTCTTTACACTATTTTGCACGGCTAAATAAATGGCCTGAAAGTACTGTATGTTTGTATTCAAAGTCAATCTCAGTTCTAGCAGTGGTATATCTGCAAAGAAATAAAAATAACTGCTAACCTTTGTGGTTAAAGTCGAAGATATAAGTCGGACAGGGGACCTTGGTAGCAAGCCCGGGCCAACAGATAAGCCCGTCCCAGTCTGGAGGGCACACCTCATCTACAGGGAGAAGAGTATGAGTTAGAGGAAGTCAACAAACTATACACATGTTTTATCAGACATATACTGTAAACCACAGAGTAAAAAACCTGAAAAGAAGGGTTTCCATTATTTAAAATCAATAAATCAAGAGTGGGGTAAATAGATGGGCTTAACAAAAAAAAACAGCTTGTGTCTGGTCAAGCTCGTTGAAATATAATTCACAAAACCCAATTGTATCTGAAATTGCATTTTGGAAACTTGAAATGAATGCCCACACAATCCGTTAATAATATGGCAGAGTTGAAAATCTGTTTTTGGTCCTTAAAATCACTTGAGGACCTGGAAACATGTGCGAAATGTAAACATTTACATCATTTGAATACAAATGTGTCATTAAAATGATCTATTCATGCTATTGTCCTCAGAATGAGAAGTCTCCCATTACTAACACATTAGTGCGACATATTCCAGGTATTTAACTTTGGCTTTAAACTGATTTTCTAGGAACACAGAAATACCTTTGCTTTTTGGTCAAAAAATATGAACAGAAACGAAGGCGTCAGTGGACTGTGCAGGTTGTCTGCAATTGAAAAATATATTATTCTATTGAGAAATGCGAAAGCCACAAATTATTGAGCACCCTCACTGACAAAATGATTGTACTTATGTATGGAAAACCTTTTTCAAAGTGCAACTTTCAAAAGCAATGTGTGAGACAGCGACACTTTAGCGGCTGGATTTCCAGGGAAAGAATCGACCACGAGAGGAGGTAGAGTTGCAAATCATGGTGACTTTTATTTATCAAACACCACAAGAGAACAGGTAGCCAGCATGTAGGTGTTCACCACTCTCTGTACGTGTTCACCCTTTCCTCTCCGACTGAAGACTGGCTCATTTATAGATTATCCTCAGAGGATTTAATTGGGAGAAACCATTCAGGTGATAATAATAAATACACATATCATCACAATTGTCATAAAGAACATCCACAATATTATGTTCATAGCATCATTAGTTGTCCAAAACCATCTGCTAAGTTAACCCCAAAACAAAGATTACAACTGACCAGAATACATATAAATGCACTCCCAACTAAAGGCCGCTACACACCCACCTGAGACCAAAGAACGCGTACCGAAGGCGTCCCGACTTTTACGTCAGCTACGTCGCCTGCGTCGGCTACGCCGCCCGCTACGCCGCCCGCCTACGAACACACCGCAAATACTTCAGTCGACGAGTGGCAATAACTGTCCTTACCAGCAGGCAGCGGTAGTATGAACAGCCAATCAGAGTGATTGCTTGGGCCGACTTTCTCCAGGGATGCAAACTCATCAGGTATGAAAAAGGTGACAAGGATCCGAGCCCCCTGACCCCACGGAATATCGGCTTTAAAATTATGAATAACAGAGAATTTTAGCAGTCAGAACAACTAAAGCAGCAGTGTTAATAATAACAGAAACGCCAAAGAGTCACATCTAATAGAAATATATAAAAGCATTTATTTTAATTGTGTAGCAGTCAGTTTATAATTTTGGCAGGACTGTTAAGCATTTTGAAAATGTATTTTCATGCCTCTGTGCAAGGCTTAGTCTTTCTATCTTTATAGCCACTGGTGTAAAGTAACTAAGTTCATAAACTCATGTACTACAGTATACTTGGGTACAATTTTGAGATACTTGTACTTTATTTAAGTATTTCAATGTTTTGCTACTTTGTTCTTCTTCTCCTCTACAGTTCAGAGGTAAATGGTGTACTTTGACTCCACTACATTAATACCTTTAGTTACTTCACAGATGTGGATGATAACCAAGTGTTAAATCAGACTTTAGTTCCACCTGGAGTAAATTCACAAGCTACCCTGCAGTATACATTCAAACTAGCTGCACCTTTACCAGCTTTGAGAACACTTTCATGATCAATCATTATAAAACATATCATATATATTATTCTGAAATGGACCAATCTGCACAATGACTACTTTTACTGTCGCTACTTTAACTATATTTTAATGATAATACTTTTATACTTTTACTTGAGGAACATTTTGAATGCAGTACTTTTACTGTAACAGAGTATTCCTACACTCTGGTACTTCTACTTTTACTCAAGTACAAGACCTGAGTACTTCTACTTTTAATAAAGTACAAGATCTGAGTGCTTCTACTTTTACTCAAGTACAAGATCTATACTTATACCACTTCCGTTTATAGCCTATGAAAAAAACTATTAGAAAACGAAGGCTAAAGCTAACGTTACCAGATAGTGACAATGTATGCTAGTTAGCTAGCTCAACGATTATATTGCGACAGAAAAACTTTTCAGTGCACATCATGCTCTGCCGCTCCGACAGGGAGCTCTGCTCTGAACACCTGAACGGCCCGTTCTAAGTAACAGCTGCTCACCAGCGGTCCAGTCTGTGCCACAGTGACTCCGGACCACACAGTTAATATTAACGAACGCACCCGTAGGTAATGTAGCTGCTGAAGCTAGACCCTCATCCCGGAGCAGCAGAGCCTTATTATACATCCATGAGCAGAGCCGACAGGCAGGAAGACACGAGCACACAGCTCGTGCTGCATTATAATATATACAAAAAGAACACCATGCGTGTCATGATGGCACATAACAGCTCGCGGCCGCAGATTACTCCGGGTCCCAGACCCCCCCCATACCCCAAAAATATTTTTATTGCAGATCTACATGAATCACACAAACGACCTATTTTGGATTCAAAACGGCGAATTTCGCCGAAAGGTGACAAGTTTGCATCCCTGTTTCTCTGACAGGTGAAAAGGTGCCGTAAAGAGACGACGGTGCGGGACACACCAACCTGAGTAGGGCGCCGCGAATGCCCGACTGCCTCTGATGGCCTCTGACGGCCTCTGACTCCCAAAATCGAGTTGGTGTGTAGCCAGCTTTAGACAGAAACCCCTGTGCCTATCTCGCCACTTGGTTCATCCCGGAACCTTCTTTGTCAGTGTTTGTTTCCCCCGAGGACCTTTTGGCCGAACACACTGGAGCGGACACAGGACGAAACAGCATGGGTAAGTGATAGATGTAAACTTTACACAGTGTTCACTTATACAAGTAATGCAACTTTAACGTCATATACACACTCAAACATATTATTTACACACAATGATTAATCTCAACCGCTGTCATTAATCTCAACCGCTGTCATTCTTACACAATCATAAACACTTTCAGCGTTCTCGCTCTTTTCAGGTGGAGCCGAGGACCCGACCAGCATCTGCCAGACGACATTCCAATTATTACCGTTTATTCTGCCCTTGCGTATGCATCGCACTGCATAGCTTAACAGATAGCGAACAAAGACTCAGACGACAGTTGTTGAGTTGACCATTTACTGAGGCTTGAAATTGTAAAACTGCAAGAATAAACAGAAAAATACAACACAAGTTACACAATTGAAATAATACATGTGCAACATAATGCAAATAGAGTGCAGTATAATCAACAGCCTATGCTAAGAATGAGCTATGTCCGTTAGCTTAGCAGCTAGTTAGCTTAGCTTATCTTAAACATTGAAACCACACAATCAATTAAACCACATTTTTGAAACACATAACGAAGGGGGAGTCCCCCACACACACTCATTGTAAAACAAAAAGGTGGGGGCTTTGCGCATGTAGTTTTGCATGACAGTGAACCTACACTCTAACTCTGACATCTAGAAACGGAAAAGCAGTTTTATTGCTCATGGATTATCAGAAATAATTTCAAAGGGACACAGACACATTGGATTAACCTATATGGATTAACTTCAGCTGCGTTTTTATCATTTTAATGCCATTGAAGACCACTTTGGAGCAGACTACAGAGCCAAGGTAATCATGTTAGCATTTTTAGCTACCTAGCGCCACATGTTTTGATGTGTTTTTGTTTATAACGTCACGATTTCGTATAATTCAGTGATAATGAGGGTACCCTTCGATTCTGTGTCACCTCACGATGTGAAACGATGTCATGGATGTGGAGAAAAGATAAATAATAAGGTTTTGTGAGTAATTTTCTGTGCAGTAATCTGTTAGCATTTTTCGCTCGTTGCTAATTCAAAGGCTCAGCGTTAGCATTGTGGGTTTTTTTTTTTAACCTGTTAAGCACCAAGCCTGTTTTTCATGTTTCAGGCTCGAAAATGACATGCCCAAAACAAATGACTACAACTTAACTTCTAAAAGGGTTATATGAATAATTTATTTTATCAAAGCAAGGTTACATCTGTGAGTTGGATGTAGAAGTGTCAGAATCAATATAAATGTTTTTTATTTTAAAGAAAATTCAGATTTTACATAGTAAAAAACTGTAAATTATAGTGTCCGTCCAAAAATTATTTTTTACAGATAATGAAAACTACCCTTGGATGATGGGTTAGTAGACTAAAAGCTTTAGGAATCCAAAGTACAACATATAATAAGTACCCTGTATCAAGATTGATGCAAAACAAGTGACATTTGACCTTTTTAGAGAGGTTTAGCCAAAACCACCCCACCTCTGAGGTGATTTGGATGAAAATGGGTTTTTTTCTATATCTCTGGCCCCCCTTGCTCGATTTTGATGGTTGACACCTCTTTCTGATCGTTAGAGCCAATAGAATCGAAGGGGGAGGCCCACACACACACTCATTGTGAAGAGAAAAGGTGGGGGCTGCGCGCATGTAAATGTAAAGCAGAGTGGAGCTACATTCTAGCTCTGGCATTTGGAAACAAAAAAGCAGTTTTATTGCTTATGGATTATCAGAAATAATTTCAAAGAGGGCACAGATACATTGGATGAACCTATGGATTAACTGCAGCATCGTTTTTTTATCGTTTTAATGCCATTGAAGACCAGTTTTGACCAAGGTAAGCCATGTTAGCGTTTCTAGCTACTTAGCTCCACATGTTATGATGTACGCTTTCGTTTATAGCGTCGCAAATGTTTATCACTGAGTGTTGAGGTGGGCACCACTAGATTCAGTGTCTCCAGGACACCAAAAACTAGTGGTTGGCTGTGCATCT